TATGCAAGACTCTTCACGTAGGATTCATGTCTTCACGCTCAGGTCTCTATTTAAGCTCTTCTGGTATGCAGGGTGGCATTATTTTCCACAAGGACCCAAAACTGTGGGTTACAAATTGTCCTCTTGGAAAGCTAATCCTGCCTGAGCATCACCATCAGCGATCCTAGTGTAAATCCAGAGTAGATATCAGCTTCAGTAGTGACAGGTCTAGACTGTAACTACTACTTGGAATTAGCCTCCTGATTTTCAGGCCATAGTTGTCAAAAAACTTTGCGAGGCCAGTTCTGCCTCGGATACACGTACACAATTCTCATGGGTGTGAAATCAGTGGAGCTGTGTATGTTGTGAGACTCACAGTTGAGATACAGCAGGACTGCGTCAACGTGCCTTCTCATCCGCCACCCCTTCTCTAGCTGCGCCATCTAGCCCAGACCCACTGAAGTGAGCCTGGCTTGTAGGCACCACCTCTTACCTTGATTACCTGTCTCCACCCTGCTCTGGGCACTGAGCTTGCTCCGGCTCTGTCTGGGCCCCTGGCCCCATGCTCTGCACCTTGAGCCTGACCCCGACAGGGTTCAAGGCGATCACATGCATGTCGGGCACTAATGGGACCTGCAAACCAGCCCTCAGTCCTTTCCACAAATCACCAGTTGTAAACTGTGACAGCAACTTAACCTGCTCTAGGTACAGCCAACAACAGCAATAGCTCGCTGTCTTGCAGCAAGGCTTCCCCTTGCCCGGGGTTGTGCAACCCTTTACCTGGATGGGCCTCTCCCCTTCCTGGGCGGCAGGGCTTTGCCACTGCCTGGTCTCTCTCGCTGCAAGTTTTCTTCTTAAAATAACAGGCCCTGTGTTACAGCTGGTCACTTCATGTCCCTGCCCTTGAGATCCCTTGTCTGACCAGTGAAAGGTATTATGTAAGAGCGGGAAGGCACTATATAACAGCTGGGTGATCATCAAACCTATATAGGAGCGGGAAGGCACTATATAACAGCTAGGTGATCATCAACCCTCCAGCAATGGGAGTTAGCTATTTTGGGTAAGGAAGCAAAGTTGTTCCTGTAGAGTATGGCTCTAATGAAACAATGTTTAAATACATATTTAATAGTTTGTCAGTCCAAAAGCCCTAAGAAACCTCAGCTGGCATCGCAGCAAATTTCCCTTGCAGGTTAAAAAGTTGCAATCAAGTTTTCAATCAAGAAAATGTCTAGACACTGGAGGCATTTAACTATGATTCACATCAGCAAAAATACCTATTTGTTCAATTTACATTGTGCAACGATCCTATGATTATTCATCCTGTGTGCAGTCTAATCCCATTTACTGGCTCAGAGGCCATTGCTTCTGGCACTTTGGGAACAGGGGGTCTTCACTGTAAGAGCACTGTTACTTACTTTCACTAAGGCTCAATCTACCCATCAAACCTGTCCTTGAGCAACTGCTGTCCCTAACACTGGGGTATTCAGGAATGGCTATCAATAGGATTACTTTGTAAAACCAAGTGACCTGGCTCAAATGGCTTATACTGAGTGTCTGCTTTAAAATGACTTTTTTTTTTAAGTGTTTGAATTTTAAAGGGTTTTTTTCTTAAAGTTGATTAAAAAAAGTTTGGCTAATTCCAAGAGTGAGCTGGGAGAGCGTATACTTTTACTCACGTTTAGAAAATGCCTAACCCACTCACTGAAAACATCTAGCGACTTTTGTTTTTGAGCAGGGACTTGACCTGTTGGGGACAGGGGTTGAACCTGGTATTAGGGTGTGCCTGTTTGCCATTCCTGTGGAAACGCTGGCTAAGTTTTCCAAGCCTCTAAAAAAATCACATTTTTCACTTGGAAGCGACTTGAGTTAGGCAGCTAAATGTTTCAAGAAGATCCCATCTATACTGAGGAGCCTTCATGCCAGGGTAGCAGGAGCTGAGCGGGATTTTCCCCACACTTGCTGCTCCTGGCAAGGGAACTGAGAGCGGGGAAGCACTGCCTCTCCAGTGCTGTCAGCCTTGCCCTGCTGCGTGGAAGGCAGAGGGGATGAAACCAGATTGAGGACGGTGGGAACAGAGCAAATAGGCAATAAGGAGTCGCAGGAGAAAATCGGAGGTGCGGTATGTGGGTGGGCAGGGGCGGTGGGAGACTGACCTTGCAAGGAGACGGGGAAACAAGGGTGAGGAGGAAGGAAGAGACTGGGACCAGCCAGGAGTGAGCAGGACAATCCGGGTGGGGGGAGATTGAACCTGGGGTGGGCACGCAGCCCATTGGGAATTGGGATGAATAGCTTTGGGAGAAGCAAGGCAGGACTGACCCTGGAGCAGGCAGAAGAGAAAGAAGCAGCAAAGTTCAGCCTTGGGGCAACCCAAGAGAAAAGGCTGGCCACGGTATATCCCATACGTCACCTTTCTACAAGACCATTTCTCACTTCTTAGCAAATGTTAACCAGTGCTACACTCCCCCGCCCCGCGCTATGACTCTCACAGCAGGTTTACCAGCTTCTCATCATTCCTGTCTCTGTCTTTTTCCCAGGAGATGCAACGACTACCACAAGTCCAAGCACAGCAACGCCCACTCCAACAGGTAACTCGGTTCCTTTGGTGTTTAACTTAGAGATTTGCAGGGGTGCAAAATAACGGATGGCTGGATCAACAAATAACTCCTGGCTGGATCAACAAGAGCTCTGCCCAGCGTGAGAACAGGAAAGCAGAGTGATGCCTAGTTCCCCCAGTGTGTGTCGTGACCCTGGATGCTGGGATCCTGGTTCTCCCTGTCTAGTCCCGCTCTTTTGTGCTGTAAGCGCCTTGTTGCACTTTATGCTGGGAGCCGCACAACTGTTGATCGGGCTTAGTGCTAGCTTGGAGCCTGGAGCAGTTGCAACCTTAGTCTAGAAAACTTCCCTGACTGTCCCCCACCTGCGCAGCGGTGACTTGCTGGTGAGCAGGGGCAGGACTAGGAGCTGTAGGGCTGAGTTGCCACTACCGGGATGGTGAGCACTTCTATCCCTGCTCTATGGATGTGGGTGCAAGAGATCCTGGGATACTGCAGGACTTCAACTTGGGGGAAGTAGCCACACGTTCATGGAGCAGCAGCTGGGTAGTATGGATCAAAGATAATCCCACCCTGGGGTGGCATAAATTTAAACTGCATAATGAGTGCTTAAAACCATGTTAAGGTGTTAGTGTGAGGACAATCCAGGCATTAAGACCTCCAGAAACTGCTTCAAATTACCATGTAACAAGGCCCTTGGATTCTGTAGTGCAGGCAACAACCACCACTTCCGAGTCCACTCCTTACACACCGAGCCCCGACGCCTTCGGGGATACAACAGGTGCATCTCCAAAGAGAGGGTGCAAGAGCAGTTGTCTGTGCAAGCTTGCAGGAGCCCTGGAGGGGCTGAGGTCATTCTGAGGCTGCTGATCGGATGGAGTTAGTCACTACTGGAACAAGACGCTCGTGGGTTTTTTGCATAGGTTTTCTATCTTTAAATTTGCATTTTACCAGAAAGGGAGCCTGGCCTGCCAGAGCCACTCTGGCTGCGGGCCAGGCTCTGAGCGGCAGACTCAGCACCGCTGCCGCCCTGGGCATAGGTAAGGCTTCTGGGGCCAGCAGCAGCCTCCCGTACCCGACCCGGGTCAATTTGCTGTGCACCAGAGCGCACGTGCAGACATGGGAAGTGGTGCTTGGGGACAAATAGCACTGGCACAAATATGAGCCGCTGCTATTTGTCCCATGGAAAAGGCACGCCCCTGCACGTGTGTGCTTGTATGGATGTGCCCTTAGTTGCCAAGTCAAGAGGAGTAAAAGGGTCCCCGAGGCTTGCCCAGAGCCTAGTGGTTAGAGCACTTTCCTTGCTAACAAATCCTCCCACGGTGACCCCGTCCTGACTTCCTGGGAGCACGTTTGAAATGCACAAGCATTCACTGCCGGGAGCGGTGGGAACCACCGCCTGAGTGCTAAAGGACATGTCCTCTCGTTTGTGAGAGGCCCTGACACTATACCAGCTCCCCCTTTGCTAAGGCAAAAGAGCTGGAGAAGCTCATGAACAAATAACACTGAGCAAGTCATGCTGGCTCATCCTGCTTTCCTCCTCAGAGGTGAGGTACAGGAAAGCAGAGTCAGCCACGGATCGCGATGGCACATGCGAGAGTTGTCATGTTCAGATTTAGGAGACAGTAGCGCTGGGCTTTGAAGTGTGCTTATCAAGGGGTAGGGCCTTTTATATGGACACCCCACCCCAAAGCGGTGCCTAGGAGGCATTTAGCCGGGAAGGGCACCATAGGAGCTGTGCCTCCCAAAGCCCCAGGGCGTACATGCCCGCTGTTGTGTCTGCACGTACACATTCCTTCCTGCTGTCACCTGCGTGGCTCATCACAGGCCTCTCAACCTGCTGATCCAGCTCGCCTCCCGTGCCTCACCGCTAACTCCCTAGGGCCCGGCCTGCGGCAATTCTGCTAGGCACGTGTGTAAGGGGAAGTCTTTCTACTCCCTCACTCCCCCTCCCATGTAAGGCCCAGACAGATGCTGGTCTTCAGTGGTTTATTGTAATAACCCAGCTAGATACTTCATGCCATGGCCTCGTGGATGCCTTGGGGTCTGACAAGTGAAAAGAGAGACATTGCATTTTTGAGGTGATTGACATTTTGCTTCTTGCTTCACTAAAACAGGAATGTCAACATATTCCTCATCTCCCTCTACTACCACCACTTCTGGTACCACCAGCTCATCCACGTCAGCCTCCACTCCTCTGAGTACGACAGAGCCACCAACCTATTCTCCAAGCTCCTCTGTTACTACCACCACTTCTGCTACCACCACTTCATCCATGTCAGCCTCCACTCCCCTGAGTACGACAGAGCCACCAACCTATTCTCCAAGCTCCTCTGTTACTACCACCACTTCTGGTACCACCAGCTCATCCACGTCAGCCTCCACTCCTCTGAGTACGACAGAGCCACCAACCTATTCTCCAAGCTCCTCTGTTACTACCACCACTTCTGGTACCCCCACTTCATCCATGTCAGCCTCCACTCCCCTGAGTACGACAGAGCCACCAACCTATTCTCCAAGCTCCTCTGTTACTACCACCACTTCTGGTACCACCAGCTCATCCACGTCAGCCTCCACTCCTCTGAGTACGACAGAGCCACCAACCTATTCTCCAAGCTCCTCTGTTACTACCACCACTTCTGGTACCACCACTTCATCCATGTCAGCCTCCACTCCCCTGAGTACGACAGAGCCACCAACCTATTCTCCAAGCTCCTCTGTTACTACCACCACTTCTGGTACCACCACTTCATCCACGTCAGCCTCCACTCCTCTGAGTACGACAGAGCCACCAACCTATTCTCCAAGCTCCTCTGTTACTACCACCACTTCTGGTACCACCACTTCATCCATGTCAGCCTCCACTCCTCTGAGTACAACAGAGCCACCAACCTATTCTCCAAGCTCCTCTGCAACAACCACCGCTTCATCAACATCAGTGTCCACTCCATCTACAACACCGCAGACAACGCCCACAGTTCCACCTTTAGGTAATTCTTAGCAGTGACCTGAATTTTTTGTCACTTGCTGCTAGGTTGAGAGTTGAGTTATCCAGCATAGCATGAGCAAAAGCAGTTCCACCTCCCACGCGCCACCTCCAGTCAGTGCTAAGGGAGGGGGTTTCACTGAGGACACAGAACCGTTAACACACGTTCACAACTTCTGCACTAGGCTAGTGGACTGGTTTGAACCCTCGTCCTAGTGCTGAAGGGGCTTTAGCATTCCCTTGAACTGCCCCACCCCAGGCAAACAGGAATGGAAGCGGATTTAGCCTGGATTTGCACACTGACCCAGAAATGAGTGCTGTGAAGCACTTCTGTTTCTTGCAAGAAAAAGAGGAAAGAAACTAAATCCAAGTGATATAATAAAGCTGTTTAGTAGCTTTCAGTACTAAGAGCAGGAGCAAAAGTCCTTGTTACGTTTAAGGTGGAACATGATTTGGTCTCCCCCAAACCAGAAGGGTTTGGGGGAGACGCTGTTTCCCCTAGCCCCCGCTGGCATAACAAGGAGTAATGGGCACAAGTTGATGGAGAGGAGGTACAGATTGGACATCCGAAAAAACTACGTCACAGTTAGGGCGGCTAGGAGCTGGAACCAACTTCCAAGGGAGGTGGTGCTGGCCCCTACCCTGGGGGTCTTTAAGAAGAGGCTGGATGCCTACCTGGCTGGACTCATTTGAGTCCCGTTTTTGTTTTTAGGGTTTGTTGTTGGTTGTTTTTGTTTGTTTGGTTTTTTTGGGTTGGTCTCCCGCCCTGGCGGGGGGTCGGGCTAGAAGATCTATTAGGTCCCTTCCGACCCTAAAACTATGAAACTATGATCAGGGACTGTACGACACGATGGTTGGTGACAGCAGAGGGCTGGACTTGATGACTCGCAAGGTCCCTTCCAGGCCTGTGTAACTTTGTTCCTATGTATATAGAGGTCCTTCATTTCTGGAGATTTGCATTTACAGAAATGAATGTGAACTAGTGACCACTCCCTGTTTCTCCCTAAATCCTGCACGTGCAGGGAGCAGAGCAGGTGCTGGCCAGTAAGGGGGAATGCATCTGGTGGAGCTCAGGCTTGCTTCTACCAAATGAATAAGTGCATTGATGGGATAACTTCCTTCTCTTTCCTCTGAGCCAGGGATATGACTTCTCATTAGAGCAGCACAGTGGGCCAATTGTGGGCAGGCGGCGGGGCTGCTAGCCACTCTGCTCCTGGCTGCCGCTGTGATAATTTGTTCTTAATTTCCATGCACAGTGTGCGGACACCCAAGCAGTGTGCTCGGGAGCAAGAAATTTAAGTCAATGTAGGAGAGATTTGCATGTAACTAATCCACGTGTCTTTCTTCCAAGGTCGGGCTATCTGCAGTGCATCAGGGGACCCACATTATAATACCTTTGACCAGAAGGTTCACCATTTCATGGGCACCTGCACCTACACCCTTTCCAAAGTCTGCAATGCCTCTACTGGGCTTCTTCCTTTTGCTGTGTCCACGACCAATGAGCACCGAGGCTCCAACACCAAAGTTTCTTATGTAAAGTCAGTGCACGTGGAGGTCTATGACAATCAGATTTCTCTTCTGAAGAACAGGAAAGTGAATGTAAGAACCAATTATGTGTATTTTAATATTAGATGGCCTTAAAATATTCAATCTTCCTAAAATGAGACGTGCAGACATGTGAAAACATGAGCTATTTTGGCTGGGCATACAGGCCACGTGGTGTATTTGTTGAAAAGGCCTCTCCGAGTCCATTGAGAATATTCCTGATTACTCAGTTGAAATTTGCTTTCTAAAAACATTCTGTGATATTCTCTTCACATTCATTGCATTGATCAGAATACCCCTATTGGTAAACTCATTTGCCGGAAGATTTGTGGGCTATTCACTGGGAATCGTGGGAATGTAGACAGCTGTCAGCTGATTTTCCCATCTTCTTGTATAGGTGAATGGCAGAAGGGTGAATCTGCCTGTGTTCATTGGAAGCAAAATCAAGATCCTAAGCATTGGCGGCTATATTCACCTGGAAACCGATTTTGGACTCTGGGTCAGATTTGATGGAAATCACTATGCAGAAGTCTCAGTGCCCTCTAATTACCAGGGCCAGCTTTGTGGCCTCTGCGGTGAGTTATACGTCCTTGCATTTTAGGGCTTTAGAGACCTAGATTTAATAGCTGAAGGCCAGCGATTGACTAGTTTTGTATCAGGCTGTGTTCTCCTCTATATAAATCTAGTCCTTAAATAAAGCAGAGTATTGGGGAGTAGCTGTCAACCTTTGTAACCTCAAGGACCCCCTCGTAAAATGCCAGCTCTTAATTTTCACTCATGTTTTGACTACAGAAAAATAATAGAGCTGTTTTTCTGTTGCACAGAGCAGGTCAGGATGTGTTGAACACTCTGGATTCCTATTTGAAATCTCTGAGTTTATCTTGTGAATAGTGTTTGCACACCTAACCATGCTAACATTGCGTGGCACCCCACATCACCCTTGAAAGGGTCTCAAGGCACCCGGTTGAGAACCACTGGTTTATTTAGAGAATAACACTGTGGCTTTAGGTACCTGACACAATCCTGGTAACCTGGGATTCAACTCAGAAATGATAGCTTTGGCTTCTTTTTAGCAGTACCATCGCCACATGGGGTTTTTTCTGATGCTGCGCACTATCTTGCTACTTTTCTTACCACTGCGCAGTATCATCGCCGCACAGTTAGTGCTCGGCAATGCTACTGCGCAGTAACATCTCATGTAGACATGCTCGGTGGGGTCACAACCAAAGAGATCTTCCAGTGGCTGAACCTTCTTTCATCACACAAGCAAGTTCATCAGAGTACATGGTACAAATCATGCAATGATTTGGCCGTTGTGGGTTTCGTGTAGTCTCAAGTCTGTCTTTTTTACCCCCTTTATAGGCAATTACAACAATAATCCAGGTGATGACAACATAAAGCCCGACGGTTACGCTGCGCGAGATTCCACAGAACTTGGAGACAGTTGGGTAGTGCCAGAGAACAACACCGTGTATGTACAGGAGTTGCTGAAGAAATTCTAGCAAAATGCACTGCATGCTGTCCTGCAGTATGCCCAGCAATGTTGTTTCTACTGCCTGGTCCCATACTGGGATTAAGCAAAATCCCCATTCTCTCCAGCAAACCCAGGGATCCCTCTTTACACAAAGCAGTGAGTGAGCAGCTAGCCTGCCTATCTCTTGCCTTCAAAGTCTCCATCCAAGAGGCACGCGCCAGGCGAGAAGGGCTGAAGTGAGCCCACTCCTTTGTTTAGTAGCTGTGTTCTCCCATTCATTCCCATTTCCCCGAATGAGTCTAGGGATGTCTCAAAGCACAGTGGGAAGAGGAGTCCCACTTATGGTGTCCCTGTAGTGGGGTAGAAGATGGCCTTGGGTGGAGGTTGGCTGTGAGAACAAAAAAGCCCACCCTGTAGTGCAAAACCAGCATTTGTCTGAGCTTTGTTTTTGAGCAATAAATTGATGTTGTCTCTCTTGCTTCACCCAGATGCTCCAGTGATCCTCCCGGGACCTGTGACCCCAAGCTGGAGAGCGAAGTGAAGAAGAACACGGCTTGTGGCATGATCTCCGATCCAGCAGGTAGGGCCCCCGCGGCTTGTTTTCTGGGCAGGCGCATCGAGTACGGTGCAGATGGCCACGGTGGCTGGCCTGCTCTCCGGGACCCTTTGTTCTATGTCTGCATCCAAAATGTGTGTCATCCCCAATACTGACAAGTGCAGCAGGACCCACAGGAGTTGGGGGGACCTGAACGTCCTGAGCAGGCAGGTTGTCTCCTTGTTGTGCTCCAGAAGCCTGTAAAAGCTGCTCCACCACTGCCGCCTGCCCATGTGCTAGCAATGCCCGCTCTGCTTTCTTGGAGGAGCAGGGCAGCGGGCTCTCTGATGCACATTTATGCCAGCTACTGGCTTCTGACAGCCTGCGTGCATTTTCCACTCTGAGCACGGGGAGCTGGTGGGAAATGTCAGATACCAGCAACTGGTATATGCCCGCGCTATACCAGCGAGCACTGTGTTTTCTTCGAGGGACCCTGTGCTCACCCATGTAAACACAAGGAGCAGGACTCAGCCCATCTCGGCATTTGCATGTGTGCTATTTGTCTTGTTTTAGAGAGACCAGCCTGGAGCACTAGTGGCACATTTCTTGCCATGGCAGGGGATGGGGTAGTGTAGGGGCTCGACTTCTCTCATCTTCTCTTTCTGGGCTTCTTCCTTGACTCATCCAGGTGTCTTCAAGGACTGTCATGCCAAGGTGAATTGGGAGAATTTCTTTAGTAACTGTGTCTATGACATGTGTCTCACTGGAGGGCAGGCAATGTCCTTGTGCTACGGGCTGCAGGCCTACGCTGAGGCGTGTTCAAGCGCTGGGATCTGCATCAAGTGGAGGAGTGCTACACTTTGCCGTGAGTATTGCCATACACATCGGTTACTTTCTGGACATAAGAGTTGCTCAAAAGGTGGAGCTGCTTCTGTCTGGGAATGGGATCTGTCCCTTTGTCATGCCAGGAGCCTGTCCAGTTTTATCATGGAGTACTTGCCTAGGTTTTGCATGATGTTTAGGTTGATTCTCCCCCAGCCTTGCAAAGCATTCAGATATGGGTGCACGGAGCACTCCCGCGCTGTGTTGTCATCTTCAGATTCAGGCCCACCTGTCACTAAAAGGACATAGGCTGGTTCTCTGAATCCTCTGTATCCCCTGCTTAGCTCCACAGGGAAGAGCCCCATGCTGGGTGAACTATAGGAGCTTGTGCATGCAGGATAGTCGTACATGCAGAAGCAAATCCCTCTTTTGGTGCAAGGGCAAGGTACTGCAGGGGCAACAGGTGTATGCACGTTTTGTAAGGCTCACCCACTGTGCACAACCCACAGCGAGGAGAGGGTTAGGAAAAGACCTTTGTAATCCTGAGGCCTGGGGCTGATGGCCTGGAGAGGTATAGGGAAGTAGGGCGAGGGGAAGATGCAGAGTCTGTGCAGTGGAAGGGAAGTGCGGGGGAGAGGATGTGCTGGAGGCTGATGGGAGGAGCAAAGGTCCCCAAAAGTTTAATGCAGTCTGAATCAATTCCATCCCATAATGAACTGGGATTTGCCTCTAACTCAGTTGTTAGCTCCCTGTTTGATGTTAAATACCCACTGCCTAATTACACGCTTCAGTTTAAACGCTTCTTATTAGCTTCTAAGGAAAGTTTCATTACGCTCAGCTGTATTTGATGTGAGCTTCTGCACAGGGGAAATACCAACAAACTGCAGCTCTGCTCCACTGGCGACTCCCCTGCAAAGCCCGTGCCAGCACGCGGATGTGCCGAGGCCCCAGAGACTCGGCGCTGGCTTCCAGGCTGCAGCTCATTTAAAGGGAGATCTTGGGCAAACAGCTGTTCCCTCCAAGTTGTTAGACATGCAAAGCTCTCATAGCCCAAACTAATCAGGAGCCCTCTGAACTCTCTCCAGATTAATTAGCTACAGCATTAACTAGTAAGAGGGAACTTACAGGGATCTACCTATGCTGCACCCCTGGTTGTGTGATGCAGGGATATATCATGAGCGGGCCTGACTTGCACGCCTTGTCTTCCCACTGGGGTCCGTATCCCCAAAAACACAGACCTGGAAGCCTTGGGGAGCTGCTGCTGATTTTAGTAACGCCGTGTTGAGTTGCATGGGTTTTGGTGAAGGTCCTGCAGAGTTACACTGGCCTTCCTGGGGTTGACAGCTGGCTCTATATGCAACCCATACCATAAAATCCTATTAAGGGGACTCTAGGAGATGCTTGTATTGGAGAACATTGGCCCTGACTTTAGCATGACCCCTGATTTAAAAGCATCTGACAAGTCAGTCCTTGCAGATGGCAGAATGGAGACAGGCATAATGTAAAAAGACAGGGCGGAGCAAGGAAAAGCATGGAAAGTCCAAATCTCAGGGTGAAAGCATTGGACTTGCAACAGTCAGGGAGCTGAAGACTTAAAACTTGGGTACAACTGCAGAGTGGGACAAACCAGAAGCATTAGAAAGCTGCGTAACATGGTGCTCCCTAAATCAATAGTATAAAGTCCATTGGGGACCAGACAAGAAGCTGGTGTCTGGACCAGCAGCTGAAACCACTGGTGGTGATCACCTGAAAAAATAAGGGGAGCTGCTGCAGGACTGGAAGTGAACAGGACCTCAACTGTACATGAAGCAATTAGTTGTGCGAGCCAGCTAAAAGTAGCCCGGGCTTTGTAGATCAGAGATGGACAAACACCTCCGGATCGCAAAGTGCAACCTGCTCCGAGTGACGGAAGCAGGCGTCTGCTGTGAACGCGCTGCGGATGAAAGAACAGCATTTTCTCTCTATAAGCGACTGGGAGGGAAGAAGAAGACAGGGTGTAATTCTTGTTTCTTTTTTTAAATACTTGGCGGGTGCTCAGATAGTCAGTACCTTAAGGGGGCCATACTTGTCCCCAGAGAGAGTCTTTTATTCCTTTAATTTGTGTAAGTTTAGTGCCAGTGAAATAACAGAGCCTGAGAGGCTGAAATCCTCTCCCCATTCATGCAGCGTCTACTGTCTGGGGAGTTGCACTAGAAGCTCAAGTGGGATTAAACTCACCACAGGCCACTCCAGTGGTAATGGCTAGGACTGAATTTTAAGTACTGGATTGGCTGTGAAAAGCCCTTGGCTGCTGACAGCATCCCTGCCCCGTGCAGCTGCCTGCCCCTGCTCTGGGTGGTCACGTAGGTTTGGGGCGACTTCCCCCAGCACTGTCTTTTGTCTTAAGCTCATGCAACTGCAGGGAAGAGAAGAGCACTGGTGGGAGAAGTGGTCCCCCTGGCTTTGGGGAGCATTGGTAGAAGGGGTAACCCCAGCTGTGTCCCAGCTCCCTGCTTACATCATGGATGTCTGCACCTGTGCAGCTGCTTAGAGATCTGCAGAAGCTCTGATGCATGTACTGTGATAGTTCCCCTGACTGCACACATGCAGTCTTGGGCCTCTCTGGACTTGTTTGGGACATTTGGACACCTGTTTGCTGAGACCCACCAGGGCTGCTTTCATACGAGCCACCAGCCAGAGGTGCCATGCAAGCAGCTGCCCTCTGTTGCCACCCATATTTTACCAGCATGTGAAAGGGTGGAGGTCTCATCCTGCTCATGAGCAATCCTTGGATACAGCCAGCCCCTAACCATGGATCGTTTGTCTTTCTGTGTCATTCCCAACAAAAAACACTACTATCCAAGTCCTTGAGAAAAGCATCAGCAGCCACTGCTGGACACACGTCTCCAGCCACACGTGGCTTGAAAGATGCATTGTAGGGAGCCGGCAGTGGCCGTTCTAAGAAGATGGTTTGGGAATTGTTTTGTCTGAGTTTGCCTGGTTTTCCTTCCTGCTTGTAGCAATAACCTGTCCGGCACACAGCCAGTATGAGAGCTGCAATACCGTGTGTCCGCTCACCTGCTTGACTCCCTCCACACTCAGCTCTTGCAGCTCCTCACCGATGGAAGGCTGTTTCTGCAGTGAGGGCTATCTTCTGAGTGGAGACAAATGCGTGCCCCAGGAGAGCTGCGGTTGCATCGATGCTGATAAGAAGTATCATCAGGCAAGTTTCCCCAAGCACCGTGTCACCATAATTACCAATGCAGTTTCATTTTGCATCATATGTTCATGAACATGTACATATGTGCATGGCATGCAGTAGAATGGATGGCATCCAAAGTCTGCCTGAGCCTAATGAGCCATCGGGCTAATGAGGTTAAGACACTCCAGTTCCTATAGCCAACAGTGTACAAGGGAGTGATGAGGGATGTGGCTGTGACCAGGACCCCATTTACAGCTGGACCGACTGGGCTAGCCTTTGGCACAGGACTGGGCAGAACTGGAACTCATACCTCTGGAGATGTAATGTTCTGCCATTCTTCCCAGCAACAGATGGGTTGACAGGCACTTGGAGTGTGTACACACATACCAAGACAACTTAAAATAAGGCAACTTAACTAAGCTGACTTAAAATAAGGCGACTTAACTAAGCTGACTTAAAATAAGGCGACTTAAGTTAAGCCATGTTGGAGCGTACACATGTACAGCTCGTTGACATGGTGGCAGCTGTCTTGTGAGCTAAGTCAACTTAACTAATGTGGCTCAAAATACCACATCTCAGAGGTGTATTACCTTGTGCCAAATGTAAGCCAACTCTGCTCCATATACATGTGTACTCTCTGCCAGTTAAGCTGGCTTTAAAAAAGTTAAGCCAATTTAACTGTCATAAAATCAATACATGTGTACACACTCCCAGATATTCCAGACTCCTTGAATCACCCTGATGGGAAACACGGTTCTCTCTCCTTGGTAGCATGTGTGTTCATGTTTGCTGCTTCCTCCCACAGCTGGGTGAAAGCTGGTTTACCCATGAGACCTGCACTGAGCGCTGCACCTGCAACAACAACAGCGACATCACGTGTGTAGCCTGGAAATGCGGCATAAAGGAGAACTGCAACGTACAGGATGGGGTCCTGGGCTGCCATGCCTCTGGTAAGTTCTCCCTGACAGTCCAGGTGGGAATTCGGCATTAGACCTTCCTGATGTAGAAGGGCTTTCATCTTTTGTGTGACGGTGGAGATGCTCACTGCTGACTTCTCCCAGTGCTCAGAGACGTTAAAAGGCAAATTCCCATCTTGCAAATGCTGGGCTTTCCTCAACTGCAGCAGGTGTGCTGGGGGTGCAGAACCATGCCCCAAATGACCAAATGCCCTGAATCAGAGGCATGAACTCGGGTTGAGGAATGAATGAGGAAGCTTCTGACCCTGAGGACCCAATTTAAAAATGGCAAGTGCCCAATTTGGTTTTGCAAAGGACACGTGCTGGCAGGCCACACACAGGCAGTCCACAGTACATGCAAGTACCCAGCAGCACACCAGAACAAGTGGCGCACTTGGCATGTACAACTACATGTTTACACATGTTTCGCAAACAAGGGTTAGGAGATGCCTTTGGAAAATGTAGCCCTAAATGTCACCAGCATGAATCTGGGCTGTCCCCAGTGGGAGTCCGCCTGAGTGGGAATGGTGAGGATCGGGTCTCTGGACCCTACTTCGGGGCTTTTCTTGTTTGCAATGCCTGATGCCAGAACAAAACTCCTTAGCTACCGTAGATCACTATGACCTTTCCTTTAACCTTCAGGGAGCGCATCGTGTCAGGTGGTAGGTGACCCCCACTATTTCACCTTCGACAAAACAATGCTCACCTTCTTGGGCACCTGCACCTACACCCTGGTTGAAACCTGCAACAACAACAGCGTCGTTCCAGTGACCATCAGAGGCAAAAATGAAGACAGGGGACAGAGAGGTGCCACGTACCTCAAAGAAGTCTACATCGATGTGTATGACAACCGAATCACCCTCCAGAAAAGCAGGAGCATCCTGGTATGTGGTGGTGCTTTTTATGTGTTGAGGACAGCAAGCATGCAGTGGCTGATTCAGGGCAAGGAAGTGCCCTGTCTCACAGAGAAGTGTGTCCGTGCTTCTTTGATACCCATGGCTGTCCCAGTACAACTGGATTTGAAAGCACCACCTCCAGCTGGGAGTGGAGAGCCTTTTGACCCTTCTGATGTGCTCATGAAGGCATGAGATAGGAACACTGTCCATTTAGACAGAGGACGGGTCATGGCTGCCGTTGACATTTCATTAGGGGGGAGGGGGGATGTACAAGGCCTGTTTCTGCTGGGGAATCCTCTAAATCCTTGGAGAAAATAAGCCCGGATCAAAAAAAATGCTGTAACGGGAGACTGTGTTTGGCGCTGATGAAAGGTCTGTTGTCACAGCTCAACAAGGAGAGAGTCTACGCTCCGGTGAAGAACCGAATGCGAGGCGTGTCCATTGGCAATGTGGGGTTGTACGTGGTGGTGGAAACCGACTTCGGGCTGGTGGTGAAATACGATGGAGACCATCACTTGGAAATCAGTCTCCCGGACTCTTACTTCTCAAAGGTGAAATTCAGTAACTTATGAATCACGGTTGTTGCTTCAAAACACGGGATTTTCCTTTTCTGCGACCCCCGTTCATTTTTATTCATTTTCCTTCTCCTGCTTTACTACCGCGTCTCTCATTGTAGGACTGCTGTGTGCACACAAGGCATTTCTCCTCTGTTTTCTTTTTTTACAACCAATCGCTCACGGTTCAAAGGAGCATTTACAGGAAGTGACACAACGGGACGAGTAGCTGGCACCTAGATGCAAAAAGTGCCCTCGGCATAACGGTGCATGCTGTGAAGTCGTAGGGGATCACAGATGTATTACAGCAGGGGTGACCCACTGCAGGACAGGTGCACTAGTGGTATGGGCAGCCTCTGAATGTGGCACGGGGCAGATCGGGGAAGGGAAGAGCAGCAGATAGGGAAGGATTTCATAGATTTCATAGACATCAGGGCTGGAAGGGACCTCGGAAGATCATCGAGTCCAGCCCCCCGCCCAAAGGGCAGGAAGTCAGCTGGGGTCATAGGATCCAGGAAACAGAAAGCAGAGCAGTAGAGCACACAAGGGAAGGGGATCAGTGGCACAGGACTAATTTGTGACACTCCTGCCATAAAGGTTGGCTGCTGGTGTATCCAGTATCACTTCATTTCTCTTTTGTCTATTTAAATGGTACCACCCACATCTGAACTATTGATTACGGGGCTAGCTGTTACCCAGCGTCTCAGCGTATTTCTTTTCTCCATCACCCAGCGGTGCTGGGATAGGGGCGCAGTGCTTGTAACCTCGTTCTCTTGATTCTCAGGTGTGTGGCATGTGCGGCAACTACAACGGCAGGAAGGATGATGACCTGCTCATGCCCAATCATCTGCAGGCGAGTAACGTTGCGCAGTTTGGAAACAGCTGGAAAGTGGAAGCCGACAGCGAACGAGGGTAAACCTGACTCCTTTTCCTCATCCCATTTGTATCTCTTGGGGTATCCATCTCCATGCAGGTATTTCAGTGATTTTCCTGCTTTGTAACATGCATTGGCCAGACTGCTTCTAGAGCTGGTGCCTCTCCTTCGAGAAGCTGGGGCTGCAGCGGAGATCAGTTCAGTGAGATGCCAGGAGATGAGGAGCTTGGACTGCCAAGCACCTAAACCCTCTAGTGCAGCACCCAGATAACACTGCCAGTCAGTGTTATTTGCATTGTGAGCACCCAGCGCGGGCGGATGGACGGGCAGAATTGTAGAAAAGCCGGGCCGGAAGAGAGCGCTGACCCAAACCCAATTCCTTCAATCTCTCCTCATGTCCCTCGGTGGCTTGTTCTCGTCGCTCTCCCCTGGATTCACTCGTCTTAAAGCGTGGTGCCCCAACCTGGACACGCTACTCCATCTGACGCCTCCTCCTTGCTGAGCAGAGTAGGCTAATTGCGTCCCATGTCCTACATGCAACTCTTCTCATTTAAAACTCCCCAAAATACGATTTGCCTTTTTGCAGCAGTATCACACCGTTAACTCAGATTTATCTCAGGATCTACGATAACCACCAGATCCCTTTGTGCCTGACTGTGGCCTACACAATTATGTTAGACTTGGTTAATCATGTCTTAAGTGTAACATCTGCCAGGGGCCCAGTAAGTCCCTAAGCTGTTTTACTGCCCAGATCTGTTGCTGTAAGCAGTGGGCGAACCATCTTTTTGGGAAGGCTATGAACACCCATGTTTTTTAAGTGCTTCCCATACTTACGTTTGCATTGTTTTCAGGGACACGTGTTCATGTACACAAAAGTTGTGTGTGCATATTAAATGGTTCGTTGCCTATGCATATCTTGTAAGGGTTTGCACATGCAAACATGAGCCAACACACAAGGCAAGAACGTTTGATTGTGCGGATAATCCAAGCTCCCTTTCTTCCCTCAAGGGGAAAGCAGGGAAGAGATTGATTGGCGAGGCAGAAAAAGCCTGCATTTGTCACTCATCTTTTTTTCCCCTTGAGTAGAAAGGACTGTGGCCTCCAGAACTACTCGCCTGACTCTTCCTACCAGCAACAAATGTTCCCATCAGGGTCTGAGCCTCAGCGTGCCCAGTGGTATTTCAGACTAAAATCCTCTGTGGTTGTGTTTCCTTGCAGCTGCTTACCAGACAAAGGAGACGAGCCTAACCCTCCCTGCACTGCTGGTGCCAGACCAAACATGGAAAAGCAGTGCAATGCCTTGATGTCAGACCCCTTCAAGCGGTGCCATCACCTGGTTGATCCCGAGCTCTTCATCAAGACCTGCGTCTACGACATGTGCAAGTATGGTGGCATGAAGTCCACCCTCTGCGACATCGTTCAGGCTTATGTGGACACCTGCAAGAAAGACGGGGAGAGCATCATGTGGAGGAACGGCACGTTCTGCCGTAAGTGCGCGGAGAGACCAACCTGGTTTGCATGGCTGAGAGGGGAAAATTAACCAGCAGCCTTTATTGGTGCTAGTTAGCATTTGGGCACTGGGTTGTGCTGGAGTCAGATCCTGAAAACTGTGTCCCCTGCTCGGGACTGGGCCCATCTATGAACAGCAACTCAGAGCTGGGTTGGTTTGAGGAGCTGGGTGGACATTTGGTGCTGCAATGAGGTTAGAGAAGAGAGGGGAGATAAGGGAAGACCATAGGGCACCTAGAAATGTGTGAGTGCATTGGGGGAAATGGTTTTTAAATGTCTTCATTCTGCAAGTGTTGTTGGAGCGAGGCCGAAGGACTTGGCCTGGGGTCCGTTAAGGGCCAGATTCATCATCAGTGCTTGGATCACTCCCACAACGCAAAAGAGCCGTCGTCTCAGCTCAACCAGCCAGTTGAACTGTGCATGTCTGCTTTCTGCCCCCGCCATGAAATAGGGCAGGTGACGCGTGACTGTGACTGCAACCCAAGGAAGATTTCTGTACAATTATTAGTTATCAGTGGCCCTTGCAGCACCCAACACTGAACAGAAACGCTCTAAAAGCAACCCGCGCCAGCTCCAAAATGCCCCGGCTGAGCGATGGATAGCTCTGAAAGGCTCAGCTGCTCTTTAAAAAAAGCCAGAAGCTAGAGTTATTAAATAACCATGTGAAAATCAGGTGAACGTGGCTGGCGTCTGCACCCTGACTGTATTAGCATCGTACCTGTGGGCAAGGGACCGTGTCGATCCTGCTGTCTTTGTTCTCTCCATCCGTGCAGCATTACCTTGCCCCTCGCACAGCCACTACACTGCCTGCGCTCCTCTCTGCCCGGCCACCTGCAACGACATTTTTGCGCCCACCCTGTGTGAGAAGCCGGGCGAGTGCACAGAAGGCTGCGTGTGCAACAATGGCTACGTGCTCAGCAATGACCGCTGCGTGCCGCTGAGGGACTGCGGCTGCAGGGACAACAAGGACAACTACTACAGCGTAAGCGGGTTTGGTCCAAAGCGACTGCCTGGTTTTGCAGCTCTCAGCGGCTCCCGGCGCCTGGGCCCACTGCCCACATTGACCCAAGAGAAACAAACTGGGTCTGAGCAGGAGAGCCGCTGACAACTGCTTCTCTAACGCAAGTCAGTGGGCAATGCAGGAGCTTGTTGCTTTTGCACAGCAGGCCCCAAAGAGTTTAAAGATAGGACCCAAAACTGGGACTCCCAAAAGCAGTGAAAACCTCTGAACACTAGTGATTTGCCAGGGCTCGCTCAGGAAGTTTGCCCCAGTCTTTTGTGTCTCGGTTATCTCATGAAGGCAATAAGCCGTGTAGGACTGCAGTGCCCCAGCAAGACTCAGAGCACACGAGAGTGCAGCACAGAGCCCAAGGGTAGGTTCGTATCTATTTTCCAAGCATACGTTAAATTGTGGGTATTTCCCCTCTGCTCTAATAGAGCCAGCAGGGACTGCTCACCTCTCTTGGGTCCAACGTGGTACCTAGCTGGATCTCGCCTCTTTTGCTGCTGGCCCCACATTGTATTTGTGAAGAATCACCCCTTTTTGAACGGTGCCCTGAACACAGCTTGTATCCCACCAGGTCGGGGACAGCTGGGTAACCAAACACTGCGGTCAGAAATGCCGCTGCCGCAACGGAAATGTCATCACGTGTCAGGACTACACCTGTGAGATTGGCTCGGTTTGCACCCTCCACAACGGGAACTACAAATGTAAACCAACAGGTACGTGTGCTCAGAGCCCAGCTGCCGGGGAGGGACCGGGCCCCGGGAGCTCCATCCACGCGGGATGCACCTGTACGTCTGCAAGGACAGATCATCTGGTGGTGCCGGGGCCGCGGGAAGGGATGCAACAGTGACATCTGCTCACTTCCCAGCCCCTTTCCCCTTCTCCGGCAATGCAAAGGGCTCTTAGTGGACACCAGCATCACCCCTCCCCTCCTTGCATCCCAGTCTCTGTAAGAGCAAATTCACTTACCACCTGCTAAACGTAATGCAGCACGGGGACTTGCTTTCCCCGCTTCGCTCCGTGTGTTGGCATTTACACTGCAGCGCGCGGCGGGGATGCAACACTGACACACCAGTGGTGAGGGGTTTCAACCTCCTCTGCACAGGATGATGACAGAGGAGGGGCCCAGATGCGGAGAGGCAGGTCCACCTTGTGCTGCTTGGGTCCTGATAGTGTTGATGGCAGGGTACTGCTGCCACGAGAGCATGAAAAGGCCTTGGCTGTCCACTGAGCTCCCCTGGTAGGCAAGGGAAGGTAAAATTTGGGGTAGGAGAGGGAAGGAAAGCAAATGTGGATCCTTTGGCAAGGACTCCATTGTCTTCTGCTGAGAGCTGGGCTTGGCAGCAGGACAAAGAGGAGAGGAAGCTGTTAGTAAAGCTCAGAGTTGGGCAAATGTTGGGTTCCTCCTTTGGAGACCCTGATGCCTTTCATCAAGCAGCCGCTCTGATGAGCCTGCTCCTCTTGTACCCAACAGCTCTGCTCGAGATGCTGCCATGCTCGCGAGAGCTGTATCAGGAGTGAGCCGTTTCTTGTGGAAGGTGGCATTAGGTCCCCTGGAAACCTGCCTGCTGCTGCGGTTGCAAATGTGGGGCAAGGGAGCGGGGTGGTTGCAAAAGAGCCGGCTCCCCCTCTTCCCCATTTGGGCAGCCTAGTGCTCCAGGGACACTGGAAAGCAGCTGGCCCTGTGTTAAGGGACCGATCTAGGGAGCAGGGTCAATGTGTCCTTGCACAGCACCCGCCTTCCCTGCTCTTATCAACAAGGTAAAGCAGGTCTGCTGCAAGGATTTGCAAACCCAGTAGGGAGGAGAGAGGGCTCAGAGACATTGCACACCCTTCACGGGCTGTCTGGGCCTGACACCGTGGCTGAAAGGACAGTCTGGTGAAACTCCACTGTTGGGTAATGAGACGAGCGGCAGTTCTGCGTTGTAAGACCACGCCGGTCGCTGTCCGGTCGTCTGTGTGTCACCATCACCAGTACAGAGTCCGGGCACCTGCCGTAGCTTTTGTAAGCAATGGCCATAACTCTCTAGCCTGTTATTACACCAAGCCAGTCAGCGGCCTCGAACGAGAGAACTGGCCTCTGCATTCAGACTGACTACGGACACTGTTCCCTCGTAGGTTTTGGGAAGTGCCTGGTCACCGGGGACCCGCACTACCTGACGTTTGACGGCTTGTGGCACCACTTCCAAGGCAAGTCCACATACGTTCTGGCTCAGACCGTCCCCGAAGTCCCCAGCCACCTGCCGCCGTTCAGCATTGAAGGCAAGAACCAGCTTCTGCCTCGAAGTCGACGCATCACCTTCCTCAAGGAGGTCCGGGTCGACGTTTACAACCACACCGTGATGTTCAAGCAGAGGAAGAGGCTCGTGGTAAGAATCACATCTGATGCATCCCTCGGCTTCTTACTGAACGAAAGACGTTGCAGTGAAAGTTGGGGATTTGCTGTCTCTCAATGACCAACTTCCTCAGTCTCCTTCGTCAGGGAGTGTCTATTAAATTACAGCTTCTGGTACTGCACTGCTAACCTGGCATGGGCAGAAGCAGAGAGTCAGGCTCTCGATGCAATGATACTGGCTTAAAAACCCTATGCTTTAAAAAAAAAAAATTCACACCCCTTTTTCATTGCCTCCGAGTTTGAGACATTCAGGGGTCATGTTTTCAAGTCTTTCTTTTCAACCATAAGAGACAAAAATGTACTTTAAAAAATCAGGACTCATGGTAGAAGTGATATCTTTTATTAAACCAACTAGATTTTCGCAAAAAAAAAAAAAAAAAAATCTTTAATTGCAAGTTTTTGGTAAAAATCTAGTTGGTCTAATAAAAGATATTATCTCGACCACGAGTCCTGATTCCTTTTGCCACCAGACCAATACAGCTACAACCTGGATACCTTAAAAAAATATGAAATCTGGGATTGTCTTGCAGTCACGTGACCCCAGAAACTGGGGCTTTTAAAACCATAAGAGTGGTCTTTGTGAGGAGGGAAAAGGAAGCAGACAAATCATGCTAAGGGAGTTGCACTTCTATTTCTCACATTATCTATCATCATTATTCAGTCTTGTGTTTGCTCGTGCACATACGGTAGCATCTTTTCTAGCCAAAGAATGGCAATCTCTGGGGGGGGGTTAAAAAAAGGGTGAAAATACTGACTTTCAGGGCAATCCAGCTTCTTTTTGTGCAACATTTACCTGCAATAAGAAGATGAATATCAGGGGTTTTCTTCAGCTATGGCTGTTTGAAACTTTTATCATAAAACCTGAAGACAGGAGAGCTTAGCTGGGAGTTTTTTCCCTGCAACCGGGCTCGAGTTTGAATTTGGGCCCAGGACTGTGTGTTAAAAATGCTCTCCCTCTCTCTCAGCTGGACGGAGTGAGCGCTATCCCCCCTGCCCGTCCTCACGAGGGTATCCAGATATTCCAGAGAGCAACGAGAATTTATATGCAGACAGATTTTGGCTTATCCATTAGCTATGACGGCTCTGAAAACTTAGGTAAGTGTGATCAAGAGAACTTACAGTAGCATTCATTCAATTTTATCCTTCCCACGGCACCTTGTGTCCCAGAGGAGATTTCCACCCAAAACGAGACTGGAATCTTGTATCCTCTGAGCCCGTGAGTCTCCTTTGCAACACGACATCCCAGAAATCAGGGGACAGGCTGTTTCCCAAGAACTAGGCAACCGGCAAAAGTGGTACCTTTGTGTTTCACGAGTTTAGGGAAAATGGGGCTTGGACTGTTCCTGGTTCTGTTCATGCAAAGCCAAACTTCAGCTAAAGCTAAAGCAAAATCACCCTCGGTGGCTCATGGGGGTGATGGGATGAGGGTCAGACCTGTCCCTTGGTGGTTCTCCACTACCCCGGCAATGGCTGCTGCTCCCTGAACCCTGGGATTGCATCCTTGTCTCAGGATATATCTTAGCATTAGAGCCGTGGGCCTGGTTCTCTTGCTTAAACCCAGTTTATTTCAGTGTAGACTCCACTGGCACAAGGGAGATCGCTCCTTAGCTACCAGGTCTGAGAGCTGCTCGTGGGAGTAGAGGGCAAGGGTCCCCGTACCCACCACCGCAGCCCTGCAAGAAGGGAAGGCCTCTTTGACAGGACACCAGTGCAATTCAGGGAGGGATCCCTCCTAGCATCCCCTGCCTGCGGTCCGATCCTAGCACAGAGCTGCCTACCCTTCCTGTCCTTCCCTTCTGCGCGCTTGCTGGCGCTGGGTCCCGGTATCAGCTTCTCCTTCTGAAACCCCCAGACATCACCCTGGCCAACACCTACAAGAACAAAGTCGAAGGCCTGTGCGGTAATTTTGATAACAAGTACAGGAACGACTTCACCAAGCCTGACGGCTCCCGGGTGAGGAACGTGAACGTGTTTGGGGAGAGCTGGAAGGTCCCCGTCGAGAGATCGGCCCATCGGCTCAGGTACACCCTATATATGCACCGGGCCAGGACTGGATGCTTAATGAGGCCCTAATAACCTCCAAAGAGGCTGCTGGCACCCTCTTCAGCCTTGATCTTTCTTCTTCCTGTCTGGGGTCATTCATGTATTTTTATAGCGTGGGTGAGGAGGTGGCAGTGCCCCTGCAGCACCCCGGGTCGGTGCCACGTCAGGGAGTTGCACCATGTCGGACTGGAGGGTGGGTGGGAATGGGGGTCCGGCCTGTTTCAAGCGAGGCTCGTGGATGCTGGCACAGGCAGGGATCATTTACCTCCCTGCCCGCTGGGCTGGATGACCTGAGGAGAGGCAGAGGTTGATCCGACATCCCCCTGCCTTTGGGAGGCAAGGGCAACTTCCAAATGCAGCGAGGCTCCCCATGCTTCTGCTCCTGTCCTGACTCCCTGCGTCTCCTCGCTTCCCTGGCTCTGTTCCTCTTCCAGCCAGGACGCGGCAGGTCGAGGCAGTGAGATGTTCACTTAAATCTGGCGTTGCACCCCATCACTGTACTGCTAAGAGTGCATTAGCGTGAGCACAGCACCGAGCAAACTGATGTGCGGTCAATGACTTCCCGTTCCAGGCGAGCTGCAGATGACGAACTGGACGATGCCGAGCTGGAAACCGGGTTCCTCAGCGAGTGCTCGGAAAGCCAGCTGCTCCAAGTCAACGCCACTTCCAACTGCTGGGTCCTGATGGATCCAGACGGCCCCTTCCAAGGGTGTCACGCCAATGTCTCAGCAGACTTCTTCCTGCAGTAAGTCCCCGGGATCGACAAAGGCCTTTCCCCCAGCTCTTCTTTCAAGGTGTTTCTAGAGGCCCCACAGTCAGGTGCATCCACAAACAGCACAGCCATAGACAGTGAGGGCTGGAAGGGACCTCAGGGGGTCACATCTAGTCCAACCCCCTGCTCAAAGCAGGACCAGCCCCAACTACACCATCCCAGCCAAGGTCTTGGAAACTTCCAAGGAAGCACCTGGTGCTGAGCCCAGTCGCTCTGCTGGCATTGCGCTGCCTCTCAGTGCAGTCTCCACCGTTCAGGGTGTAACAGGGTAGCAGGGTCTCATGAGCAGCTGATCAGTAAACCAGAGGTCTGGATGCATGGTAATGGTGAGGATACAGGCTGATGTGGGAAGGATGCTTGCGTGCTGGCAGGGATCTAGGAAATCGGCTCTTAGCACAATGCAGTCCACGATGGAGCTGTCAGCCACCAGGAACGGAAACGCATGTGGCTGTGACAGGTACTCATGTCCTTGCTGCTCACACGGGTGCATGCAAATGCAAAGCCTGGGAGAACAAATTGACCCGATCTTCCTGGTGTCCCCAGGTTTGTATAGTCTTTCTTGCATTACTCAGCCAGAAAACTACTGGAAAGCCTTTGCGAGAGCCCCAGCACAGGATCAAGGGACAGCCGCTGGCAACACGGCAGCAAATGTTTCGGGCATGAACGCTTTCTCGTGTTGCAGGAACTGCCTGTATGACATGTGCGTGGAGCCCAACAACAACGAGATGCTGTGTCGGGACGTGGAGCAGTACGTGCTGGTGTGTCAGGAGAGGGGCATCGCCGTGCAGAACTGGAGGGAGCGGACGTCCTGTGGTGAGCACAAGGGCGCTCTGTCTTTCCAGACACACAAGTCAGGGTTTGCAGCTCAGAGAGCCAAGGACCCCCACCCCGTCCTTCCCTCAGGTCCCACTCTCTGCTCCCTCTTTATTGTGGCCCATTACAGTTTATCCAACTCCTGAATTCTTTACACACGAGATGAGACAGACCCCCTTCCACCCCCCACCCCACTTCCCATTTTGATAGGCCTTGATCTCTCTTTTCTTTTGCTAATTGTGTGTCTGCTACACCCTTAGTGGCACACAACAGCCATAGAGCAGCTTAACGCGCCCCATTCTTGCTGCTACGCTTTGGGCCCGAGTTATGTGCTGGCTTTCCTCATGGGGGTCCCAAGTAAACCTGAACAGAAAATAGGGTCCCAGGAAGCCGGTGCGCTGTGCTCCCGCGTGCTGCAGCCTCCCGGTACAATGCACCTCTCCTGACTTCTGTCCACAGCTCCGCAGTGTCCCCCCAACAGCACGTACAGCATATGCACGTCTGCCTGCCCCGTTTCCTGCGGCAACCTGGCAGCTGCCTCGGAGTGCGACCTGCCCTGCGTCGAAGGCTGCGAGTGCCTGCCCGGATACATCCTCAGCGGCTTTGACTGCGTGCCCTACAAAGAGTGCGGCTGCACCTTCCTCAACCAGTACTACAAGGTGGGTGGGGACCGCTCCCCAGCCAGCGCTTGGCACCAGTGGCCTCTCCAAATAATTCTTGCCAGTGCCTAATCTGTCCTTAATCATGCGTGGCTTCATGCCAGCCATTTGCTCTGTGATGTTTTGGGTCTTAGAGAAAGGGCAGGGGATGGAGCAGATCACGGCATGTTCCTGGGGTCCCTTCCTGCCTGTAGGAAGTGCCGGGAGCAGCACCATGGATACAAGCACTTTGGGGGCCCGTGCAATGGCACTGGAAAGTTTGGGCTAGCTCTGTCTCATCTGCCCCCTGAATAACTGCGCATGCAAGAAGGGACATGCTGGGCTTATAGATGTGTTAGGCACTGGTGACAGAGACCTGTCTTAGCACCTCACTGCGGGCCCAGTCCTGGCGGCTCTGAGCAGCACCAGTGGAGAGCTCACAGGCTCTGTGAGTGTGCAAACTCAAACACAGCATGCCAAAATAAACAAGTTTAAAATTTGTAATGCTCATTAATAAGGATTAAATGCCGTGGTGTGTACAAGTGCCCTCTGACATGGATGGTGCTCCTGCCGAACCAGTGCCTGAGTAGGAATGGCTTGGGAACAGCACACCCCACATCCAGGGCACTGGACTGGATGGTGCTTGAGGTCCCTTCCAGCCCTGGGTCTGCCGACAGGGCTGGACCCTCGCAAATGCCTGTGCCTTGAGCTCTGCTGCAGAGCCGGCTGCCCAGGAGGGGCTTCCTGCCCCTACCAGACAGCAGAAAGCAGCTGCCTCCTTTCATAGGGTGAAGCTACAGACCTGAAGCACATGCAGGCTCTGCCCATGATGATGATGGGGTTCCCTCTGGGGCAGCACGCAAGCAGGCTGTGGGGCTGGCTAGGGCCCTGGATTTGCAAGGAACAGCCAGGCATCCACTCCTATTTTTCTGGCTGACTTTATTCAGTGCCTCTGAGTCTACCAACGGACATGGGATTTATTTTGGGGGCAGCCACGGGATTTACTCTGAGATGCTACTGCGGCACAAGCCCCCTGTCCCGTTCTAAGGGCTTGTGAAATACCGAGATAACAATAATTTCAGTTAATTCCTATTCCAATGGCGTGTCTATGCCTGTTTTGATGCCAGTCAAATCCTGGGCCAGTTAGACCTGGGACAAACCTGAGGTCTGCTTTTAGCCTCACACTCCCCATTCTCTCCCAGGTTGGAGAGATGTTCATGACTGAGGACTGCTCTCAGACCTGCGTGTGCACGGAAAGCTCCAGCGTCTCCTGCCTCCCAGAACCATGTGGCTCCGAGACGGTCTGCGGCGTGGCCAACTTGACCCGTGGATGCTACCGGAGTGAGTCCATCTCTATGCACGTCCTCTTGTCCCTAAGCTCTCTGCCCAGGGTCCCTCTAGGAGCAAGCGCTTCATCCGGGCAGACCTTGTATAAGGAGGGCCCTCGGGCAGGAACCCAGGATGGGCCTCTTGGCAGGGGGGAAGGATGTAGGCGGGAAAGGGGCTGTCAGGTGCTGCCGAAAGCTTCCCAGAATGTCTCGGGCATGCACTTGTCAGAGGCTCCTTCCACAACCTCGCTCTCCTCATGCTTACAAACCATCAGATCTCCAGCCACCATTTATTTGCAGCCAGTTGAACCTGGTTTGTTCTTGGAATCGCAGAAAAGTGGGGCTGGACAACAGCTCCAGAGGTCCCATCTAGTGCAACCCCCTGCCCAAACCATGCCTATCCTTGTCCTTTAGTGCAAACAGCTTTCCTCTCTCCATGATATTTACCCTCTTGGTACCTTAACGAGAGCAATGGTCTCCCCTCTGAGCCACCATTTGGCCCGGTGACACAAGCCGAGCCCCTCTGCTCATGCCCCTGTGATGGACTCTCCAGCCCCCTGATCATCCCAGTCCCCTTCTCTGATTGAATGAATCTCTCCTGAACAGGGAAAGTCAAAACTGTGTGCAGTGTTTGAGTCTCCCCAGGGCCTCGTGGTGCAGCAGTGTGATTGCTTCCCTGTTTCTAGTGGAGAGGCTGGATCCCTTCTAGGATGGCATTTACAGTGTTTCTGGCATAGGGACATTTTGATGCTGGCTAATACACCCAGGGCAGGTCTTTCTCCTCTCCTCCTTCCAACGGAGGAGTTTGCAGCTTAGAAGGGAAATCCCTGTTATTGGTTCCCCAAGTGCATGAGCTAAGTTTCATCCCAGTTCTATTATTCCCTTTCTCTCGGTCATTGAATCATAGACAATGAGAGTGGGAAGGGACCTCAGGGGGTCACATCTAGTCCAACACCCTGCTCCAAGCAGGACCAGCCCCAACTCCATCATCCCAGCCAAACTGAGCCTTAAAAACCTCTGAGGATGGAGACTGCACCACCTCTCTGGGTCACCTGTTCCAGTGCTTCACCACCCTCCTAATGAGAGAGTTTTTCCTAATATCCAACCTCAACTTCCCTTGCTGCAACTTGAGCCCATTGCTCCTTGTCCTGTCATCTGCCCCCACTGAGACCAGCCCAGCTCCAGTTCTTCTTCCATGCCATCCCAGCCCTCCTCTCTGTTGACTCTATCACCGGCCATTTGCACTAAGACACACTTACTTGGTCAAGCACCAGGGGCATCAGGCCCTGAGCCAAGGAAACCCCTTAAAACATGGACTAGCACCGTCCGGCTGCCCTTTCTCATGCAGGGGAGCAGGGGAAAGCTTCCCCAGGCCGGATTCCCCTGGGAGCCTGACACGTCCCCCTCCCTCCTTGCAGATTCTCTGTGTCTACACAACCCCTGCCAGAACGACGGGATATGTGTTCCCAGCAACAGCAATTCCAGCTTCAGCTGCATCTGTCCTGACCCATACATGGGGACTCTCTGTGAGAAAGACCGGATAGGTAAACAGGCTGTTGTGAGCTTCATTAGACGCACGACCTGCTTGGTCAGCAAAAGCAGTGTACGCTGACTGCAAACAGCTGGGCCTGAGCAGTCACGAACAGGCTGCTTCTGCCAGGACCCGATGCTGCCCTCAGTGACACGGGTACAAATCAGGAGTAGCTGTGAGGCCAGCATTGAAAGCGGACTCAGGCCCACATCGCATGGGCACTCAGAAACTTAGTCGTGGGTGAAGGGCCCAGTCCCGCTCACGCTCTGGAGGCTTTGCCTCTGAGGATCCACTTGCAGGTACATCCCAAAGCCACGGGATCAGGGAGTCTGCCACGTGCTCAGTGCTCAGGGTGGGATACAGGGTCGGGGCTCTGTGCCCCCCTGGGATGCAGCTCACGCCACGACCTGGCATAGCTGATGGTGTTCCCTGCCCCAGCCTGTGCCTGACAGACATGGTGAGGATGTGGGCACAGGGCTTATCCCTGCAAAGAGATACCTATGGTTACCTCAAGTTGCCTCTGGAGGGAGTGGGCAGCAGAGGGGCGAGAGTCTGCCCCAGGCTGGAGCCCAGAAGCCAACACGCGCCACGTCAGACAGATCTACAGCTGCCTGGACGTGGGAAACCTGCTCACTCCCTGCATGCTGAACCTGGGCTTGCCTCTCCCCCACAGACACCCCGGTCATCTCTGACAACCCCCTGGTCTACATCATCGTGGGCGTCGCTGCGGGTGTTGTTGTGCTGGCGCTGATCATCTCCCTGGTGCTCTGGGGATACCGGTAAGGGTTTTCCCAGCTGCTCGACACAGGAGCAGGGTCTGGGAGCTGCAGCATTCGCACTGCTTACCAGCACAGCCAGACACCACCTGGTGCTCAGGCCATCGGTTACAGTGTAACCCACCCTGCATGTGGCCATCGGTTATGGTGTAACCTACCCTGCATGTGGCCATTGGTTACGGGGTAACCCACCCCTGCATGTGGCCATTGGTTACGGGGTAACCCACCCCTGCATGTGGCCATTGGTTACGGGGTAACCCACCCCTGCATGTGGCCATTGGTTACGGGGTAACCCACCCCTGCATGTGGCCATTGGTTACGGGGTAACCCACCCCTGCATGTGGCCATTGGTTACGGGGTAACCCACCCCTGCATGTGGCCATTGGTTACGGGGTAACCCACCCCTGCATGTGGCCATTGGTTACGGGGTAACCCACCCCTGCATGTGGCCATTGGTTACGGGGTAACCCACCCCTGCATGTGGCCATTGGTTACGGGGTAACCCACCCCTGCATGTGGCCATTGGTTACGGGGTAACCCACCCCTGCATGTGGCCATTGGTTACGGGGTAACCCACCCCTGCATGTGGCCATTGGTTACGGGGTAACCCACCCCTGCATGTGGCCATTGGTTACGGGGTAACCCACCCCTGCATGTGGCCATTGGTTACGGGGTAACCCACCCCTGCATGTGGCCATTGGTTACGGGGTAACCCACCCCTGCATGTGGCCATTGGTTACGGTGTAACCCACCCTGCATGTGGCCATCGGTTATGGTGTAACCCCTCCCTGCATGTGGCCATTGCTTACGGTGTAACCCACCTTGCATGTGGCCATCGATTACGGTGTAACCCACCCCTGCATGTGGCCATTGGTTACGGTGTAACCCACCCTGCATGTGGCCATTGGTTACGGTGTAACCCACCCTGCATGTGGCCATCGGTTATGGTGTAACCCACCCTGCATGTGGCCATCGATTACGGTGTAACCCACCCTGCATGTGGCCATCGATTACGGTGTAACCCACCCTGCATGTGGCCATAGGTTATGGGGTAACCCCTCCCTGCATGTGGCCATTGCTTACGGTGTAACCCACCTTGCATGTGGCCATCGATTACGGTGTAACCCACCCCTGCATGTGGCCATTGGTTACGGTGTAACCCACCCTGCATGTGGCCATTGGTTACGGTGTAACCCACCCTGCATGTGGCCATTGGTTACGGTGTAACCCACCCTGCATGTGGCCATTGGTTACGGTGTAACCCACCCTGCATGTGGCCATTGGTTACGGTGTAACCCACCCTGCATGTGGCCATTGGTTACGGTGTAACCCACCCTGCATGTGGCCATTGGTTACGGTGTAACCCACCCTGCATGTGGCCATTGGTTACGGTGTAACCCACCCTGCATGTGGCCATCGGTTATGGTGTAACCCCCCCTTGCATGTGGCCATCGATTACGGTGTAACCCACCCCTGCATGTGGCCCATGGAGCCCCTTAGTCCCACCCAGATCCCATTAGTCTGCTCATGCTAGTCGCTAACCATGAGGCAGCATGGTGGAGCAAACCAGTAACCCCACGTTGACTCTTTCCTTACAGAAGGAAGAGGCAGGATCAATCGAGATTAGCCAGTCAAAGGTCTTGGTCCTTGAACTACTCAACAGATGCACTAGACCAAGGCATGGGACAGCAAGACCTTGGCTTTGTGGTCAACACAGCATTTGATCAGAGAGAAAATCAACCGCACCACTCCTAGCGACCTGCTTCCCTTCTGACTGTTGTCCCTTTTCCAGCTCATGATTTCCCCCAACCCTTGCCTAGAATAATATTTACTAATAAAACCCCTGGACGTCTCTGGGCACTCTCGTCTCCCTCAGTGTCCCCAGCCCTTGCTGGAGGGAAGTGGACCTGACTCCCTGCAGAGGTGCCGTGGACTGCAGCGGCACTGCTTACGTGAGCAGCACCGGGGGTAACTGGTGCAGCCCCCTGCCCACAGCTGGCTTAGGAACTGCTGTGGGCTTGTTCCCTGCCTGGAGGAGGTGGGCGAGGGTCTCCGGAGAGCTTGGCTGCAGGCAGGGGCTGACGGGGTCCCCGCCGAGGGAAAAGCTGACCTGCTGTGGGGCTGGGGTTGGGCCTGACACCCCTGGACCACCCAGGGCTGGAGTCGGACTTCACAGGTCTCGTGCTGGCCTGGTACAAACACTGCCAAAGTGCGTGGGCTGCTGGCCAGCATTGCAAGGCCTTGGTTGGCACTGCTGCAGGTGTGTGCCCGATGACCCTGGGGTGACAGAGGTGCGCGTGGCCTCCCCAGCACAGCACTTGGGATTTGCACCCCGGGCTGGGCGAGCGCATGGAGCTCACACAAGCAGACAAAAGGGCATTGTGCTGCGCAGGCGTTCAGGAACATGCGGCACTGTTGGGGAGCAGAATAGGGCTTTGCCTTGCTTATGTACTGGGAGCAGAGCCGGGCAAAGCCCCCTGCTCAGGCAAAAACCAATTGCTGCAGGTGCTTGGGAGGTCACAGCCGCTCTGACGGCGTCAGACCTGCGTGCTCAGCATCCGCTTCCTATTGTTGGTGACCGGCCCCTCCTCGTGCCCTCGCCCCCGGGAGCTCCGGGCGGAGGGTGCTCGGTGTCGCGTGCCTCAGCCTCCCGCACAGCCGGCCCGGCTGCAGATTGCAAGCATCTCCTGAGTTGCCATGGATACCTGCGCCGTGCGGCTGCAGGCAGGGAGGCTGCCACGGGAAAGGCCTGCCAGCATCCCAGACTCGAGGCAGGTGCCACGGGGAGCAGACACACGTCGCTGACACCTGAGGACGAGCACCGGTGAGTCTCGGCGTCGCCGTTGCCGCCCGCCTGCAGTCCGAGCTGCCCGGCTGGCCCCCGGACGCCGGTACTGACCCCATGCCGCTTCTCGGTGCCTCCGTCCAGTGCAAGCCGCAGCGGTGACGTGCACCCCCGGGGCCTGAACTTCATTGGTTCTGTTCCTAAAAGCCGCCCCGGACTCGCCCCCTTTTTGGAGACTGCTTGCTCCTTTGCAGGAATTTCAGGGTGATGATGATGGGGGAGTGCGCCGGGGGTGCTGGCCTGACCGTCTCCACCCGCGTGTGCACTAATAGCACGGTTTGCCACCACCCTGGACCACGGACCTCAGCTGGGCCCGTCTCTCACTAGGGCCGGATCCTGCCCTTTGCCCCGATGCTCTGGGAGGAGCAACCAGCCGAAGCCCCGCCACAGAGCGGGGGTTTCTCCCTGGGGGACAGCAGCAGCCGAAGCCCTAAATGCCCGCTGGGCCCCATGGATTCAGGGGCCCCTCATGGGAGGGTCCCACGGCTGCTGCCTGCGGGGTCTGTGGCCGGCTACGGGGGCCCGGGTGCCTCTGTGTTTCGGACAGCGAGGCCAGGGCCCCGGTAAACTTATCCAGGGATTCCCTGCAAGGCTGTCCTAGGCCTGCCTCCTACACAGGGCGGACGAGACACATGTCCTCATCGTTAGCAGAAAGAGGCATTTCTGGACAAGTAAGAATAAGAGCTGCCGCGTCCTGGGTCAGACCCCAGGTGCGTGTTGCCCGGTCTCCTGCCGCGCGGAGGCTGGAAGGCAGCGCCTGGGTCCAAGCAGGGTTTCCCCTGTTCCTCTCCCCGTCGCAGCCTCCAGCACGTGTAGGAAGGTCTGATGCAGACGCCAGCTCCCTCGCTGCCCTGCTCAACAGCCTTTCCTCCAAGCACTCGGAGGACTCCCATCGCCGGCCCCTTTGCCAGCGTGGCCTCAAGCCTCCCAGAGCCCCTGAGCGAGCAGGAGGGACCTGACTCTGCAGGCCTTGTGCCCCTTCCCCAGCGCGGGTGTCCAGCACCTCTGGGCGCTGTGGGCTCCCCCGAATCTCAGGCCAAACACTGCTGCTGCCGGCACGGACCCGGGGCTGGCACCCCACTCCGGCGAGGGGCCGGGGAGTCCTTCCAGAGGTGGGGGTGCTGGGGCACGGCACAAATGCTGCCTGCACTGTCTCTGGGGCGGGGGGCAGTCTCCTGAGGCCGAAACCTCCCTGGCTTAGGGACGCTGAAGGCTGCGGTGTATTCGGCCCCGATGCTCAGACCCAGACTCTGCTTCCGTCCCCGGGGGGTCCAAGGGGCTTTGCCCGTCTGGTGCAAAGGGCCTCGCTGGAGGAAGGAGAAGCCGGCTTGCGTGGACAGGGCTGTGGCCTGAGCTTGCCCCACCTGGGGCAAACCTGCCCGGTGCTGCTCTGCCCATGTAGAGCAGGTGTGTGAACACGCGTGTGCAGGGGTGCAAAACCCAAGCGGGGCCGTGGCCTCAACCTGGTCCGTCCTGCGCTCCCCCGGGCACGGGTGGGCGCCCCGCCCCGCCGGTCCTGATTGGCCCGCCTTGATTGCTCATTTGCATCCCAAGGGGCGGGCCGGGCCGGGCCGGGCCGGGCCGGGGAGCGGAGCGGGAGCGCGGGGCTGCGCGGGGCTGCGCGCTACTTTCAAAGCCGGCATGCTCTAGCCACGTATGTCTGCGTGTTCCTGCCCTGTGCGTGTTCCTGCCACGCGCATCCTCTAGCCGTATGTGCCCGTGTGCCCTCGTGTTCCCGCCGTGTGCGTGCTCTAGCTGTGTGTGCATGCATGTTCCCACCGTGTGTGTGTGTGTGTGTGCGTGTGTGCTGTAGCACTGCCAGCGGCTGCCACCCGAGCCGGAGGCGCGGGGG